TTTTGAGACAGGGTCTTGCTAAAGTTGCTTAGGGTCCTCACTAAATTGCTGAGGCTGGCCTTAAACTTGCAATCCTACTGCCTCAGTTTCCTGAGTGGCTGGGATTACAGGCATGAGTCACTGCACCCAGGTAAAGTCTTTTTTAGTTCTTAGGGTCTATGAATCGATGACTTAACTATTCCACCACCTGTTCTTAGCTTAGTTTCATGTATCAGTTATTTTATCTATGGTCTTTAGGTTGTTGGTCTCTGACTATAAACACCTAGAACCACAGAAAGATATACTCCAGAAGCTTAGCTGCATTATCAAGATCCCAGTGGTAGATGGTGCCAATGTAGATAACTTACTCCTGGTCCTGCCCCAGCCTGTGATGGAGCAAGGATATTTGTTTCTCAGAATGATTCCTTTCAGGGGCAGAGCAGACAGCTGGACATAGCTATTGAGGGTAACGCTCTGGGTTAGACGCAGCAGGGCGATGTCATGGCTGCAGGAGGAAAGGAGACAGTTCACTGGTGGAATCAGATCTTCCCTCTGATCAGCATTGGCACTGGTCAGTACTAAGCTTTTGTCACTCCATCCAGCTGGAAACCAACACTTGCAAGAAGGAAGCTAACTTGCTAAGCATTTGAGTTTACAGTAGGACATTATATGTTTAACAGCACCATCTGCTGGAGAAGTTTTTGTATTGCAGCCTGGCTCTGATCTGTGCATCCCTGGGAAGTGGAGAATGGGTAATCAGAATGGAGCAGATGGCATGATATCAGGGGCAGCTTTTAAAGAAAGATGTGAAAGACTGCATGGCTCTGAAAGCTCTGCAGAAGTGTCCCAATACTTGTACCCATCCCCACCTCCACACTCTACAGAATTATCACCTTTTTTTCCTTTATTCTTTCTTTTTAATTTTTTCTTTCCTTCCTCCCCACCCCCCCCTCTCTTTCTTCTTTCTTTCTTTTGGTGTTGGGGATGAAACCTGGGTCTTCATTCATGATAGGCAAGTGCTCTACCACTGAGGTAAATCCAAAGCCTTGAAAAAAATCACTTTAATAATTTCTTCCCCAGGGCTGGGGTTGTGGCTCAGTGGTAGAGCACTTGCCTTGCATGTGTGAGGCACTGGGTTCAATTCTCAGCACCGCATATAAACAAATGAATAAAATAAAGATCTGTCAACAACTAAAAAAAATTTTTTTTAATAATTTCTTCCCCAAAAATTTACAACTTGGTCTTATGTAAGGTTCATTTTAAGAAATTTCCTTTTGACACTGGGTCTTAGCCCAGTGGGAGAGCTCGTGCTTAACATGCCTGAGGCCCTGAGTTTCTTCTCCAGCACCAAAAAAAAAAAAAAATCTCCCTTTACTTATAGAGTGTATTCCATAAAGTGAATAATAAATAATAACAATCAAATAAAGCCTAGAGACATTAAAATAGAGAGAAGGGCCTTCACTTAATCAAATCACGCAAACCCACCTACATCAAACAAATCCTAAAGATCTTCAGAAATTCTCAAGCCCTCCCCAATCTAAATTCTCAAAGTTCTTCTGGATGAATGAGCCAGTTTACTACTCCCTGTAGGACACAGTGCCCAGAGATTCTCCAGACTCCTCATCAGAAGCCCCATAAGCCACCAAGTTTCAGGCAATGCAGGCCCCTCTAGCCTCTGGGAGAACACGTGAAGGGAACCAAGACCCAACTAGATCCAGCAGCTGGCTCATCAGCTCTCCACCCCCCAGTTCCGCCTTGTCCCTACCCGGCAGCCACGTCCTTGCTGTCCCAGTACGGGTGTATCACGATCTTATCCACTTCCATGTACTGCTCCGTCCCTTCTTCCTTTCCGAGGTTGTGGTCCCCAGCCACCACACGGAAGACCATTGGGCTGGAGTGAGAGGGGAAAGCCCTGAGTGATTCAGGAGGCTCCCTTTCCTCCCGAGAGGAAAGTTGAAAAGAACTCTTTTATCTTTAGGATAGGAACCCATCTTAGTTGGCCCGCAGATGAGGATGGAAGACCCTCCAAGAGGAGGAAGTAACAAGCTCTCTCATTCCTTAATTTACTACTGACTTGTGGAAGTGGAAAAACTTACTATCAACTTCATGTTCACGGTTTATTAAGCTAAACATCTTCACCTGGGACATCTTCACCTAGTAAGCATAGTGAAATCATGGCTCTTAGCCACAGAGGGACTTGAAAAGAAGTTCAAACTTCTCAGCTAGTAATTGTGGTCCTGGAAACCAGCCTCACTCAGGACTAACCAAATCAGAAACTTTGCTGAGTGGAGCTTTGTGCCTTCCAGGTGACCCCCACACAAACACCACACACACACCACACACACACACACACACACACACACACATGCGTGGGATTGAACCCAGGGGTGCTTTACCACTGAGCTACATCCCCAGTCCTTTGTATTTTTTTATTTTGAGATGGAGTCTCATTAAGTTGCTGAGGCTGGCCTCAAACTTGTGATCCTCCTGCCTCAGCCTCCTCCCAAGTTGCTGGGATTAGAGGTGCACCAGGTGATTCATGCTCAAATATGAAAACTTCTGCTCATGACAAATATGAACAAACGGCTTCAGTCCTATGTTGACTAGGCACTTAGATATGTACTCACTCCTCATAACGGCTCTACAAAATAGGGATTATTACCTAGTTTTAGAGATAAGAGAATGGGAGACTAGAGGAGCTAAGTAAGTTGCCCAAGGCTACATGGGAGGAGATAGTGCAACAAAATTTGGAAGGGATCCTTCCTGACTCCAAAACTTGTACTTTTCTCTCATACCCTTGCTCCACTGACTCCTAAACACAGATGGGCTGGGCAATAGCCCACTGCCCACACCCATATTATACTGCCCCGGTATAAGTCAAAGTTGTATAAATTTCTCCAAAAAGGTAACTTTTTCCCTCCCAGGGGCTCAGAAATGTTAGTCTTTGTTTTTTCTCACTGGTCCACGCAGTGAGCCGCTGTCAACACCCAGTTCTTTTTGACGAGGGTCCCTCCACAAGTGTGAAACCAGGAACTTCCAGACTGGTACTGGAGGGAAACCTAGACGGGGAGGAAAGAAAAGAAGAATAGGCTGGTGTTTGCCCAAAGTCTTTGCCCCCAAATATGTCACCTTAAATTCCTGACTTTCCTGAGGACATCCTCTTAACTTTCTGGACTAGGGAGAGCAGGCAGGTTTCCTTTGACCAGTCAATTGCTATTGTTTGTTTGGTAATGGCTACTCAGGGTGTGTTTTTGAGAAGGGGTGCATAGATGTTTCTGGGGTCAGCTGGAAAGAGTGCTCCATTGTTTGGTGATGTTTGCTGTGCACATGGATAGGGAAATAAAGGCACAATACTGTATTTGGCATTTATAGGCTAGTGTTGCAATGGGCCTAGAGCCCAGGTCCTTTTACCTCTGTACCCTGTTGGAAAGGAAATGTATCCAGTTGTAACTCCTTCATCTAAGCCCTATACCATTTAGTTCTCAAAAGAGTTCTCCCTTCAATGTTTTCAAGAAGTATCCTGTACCCCCAACCCAGGGAATACTTAGAAATGCTAATGGAATGCTTTTTTTTTTTTTTTAAGTTCATGCTTCCTTGTATCACACAGCGAATCTCCTGAAGATTGGGGCTCAAATTGTCATAAATTGAATCTAGTTTAATTTCCAGGTGTGGCTATTCACCAATCAATATGCCAGTTTTTGCTTTTTTGGTACCAGGGATTTAACTTAGGGGTGTTTAACCACTGAGCTACATCCCTATCCCTTTTTATTTTATTTTATTTTTTTGAGACAGAGTATTGCTAAATTGCTTAGAGTATTGCTAAGTCACTTAGCACTTCACTAAGTTGCTGAGGCTGATTTTGAACTTGTGATCCTCCCGCTTCAGCCTCCCAAACTACTGGGATTACAGGCATGCCCCACTGCACCCAGGCTGTCAGTTTTATATATTTACATTTGCTTGGATCAGGGGCCAGCTCCTGCATGAAGCAAATGGTAACTCTAGCCAAATAAGCACAGCGCTCAATGCCTGTGGTACTGTGTGGTGCATGTACATGTGTACTTCATGCGCTGGTGAGGGCATGCGTGCTTGAAGGTATGTGGAGCCCAGTGTGTGGGTCTAGCACAGAGTCCTGCAGGTGTGTCACAGTAGTGTCTCTGAGGTATAAAAGTCATTGTGTTTGGGTGCATGTCTGGGAGAGTATGGCTGATATTCAAACCCCTTCTTGCAAGGCTTTTACATTTAGAAATCCACACAAGCCTGGTCCCATCCATCTTTAAAATAGACAATTGGAGAGCTGCCTGTTAATCAGGACGCACACAGACAAGCACAACACTTTTTGTGAGTGTGCAGCAAGTCTTATTTGGGTAAAAGTTTGGGCTGTGAAGGAACACCCACCTGAGAGGGCCAGGAATTCTTCTGGGCCTCAGTCCCTCCAACCACCCGAGCATTAGTTTCTGGAAAGTTCGGGATGCTGTTTCCTTTGTGGGACAGAAGAAAAGTGAGTGATGACTAAGCATGGGGTCAACCCTGGGTGGAAGTGGGGGTGGGGGTGGGGAGTGGTGGTTGTGTTTGAGGAATGATAGCTTTGTCTGCAAATTCACAGCTCTTTCCTAACAAATGAGGGGCCCAGCTCTGAGTTCTCTGAGTTCTCTGAGCCTTTTTTTGAAAGTAAGGGAGTCTGCAGTGCCAGAAGTCCCAGGAGTCCTGAAATTCTGTCTTGCTGTGAAGGACCTATCCAAAATCACCAGGCTAGGGACTAGAGGACCCTGTGATCTTAGCTCACCCAAGGTCACCCCTGGGCTGGAGAAGAATCCTCTCCCATACTTTAGCAGGATTCTCCAGGGGACAGGGACAGGCATGCACATCCCAGGTGGGCACTGGCTGAGGATGTCCTCTGGTGAAGGAGGCTGGTGGAGAAGCCCAGGTACCCCCAGAAGGGGCTTCTTTATACTTCATGATTCAGAGAACTGCCACCCAGAAAGGTCTTACCATGGCTCTCATCTTTCCTATCATGTGCTCCAGAAAAGTAAAACTTTTGCTGGATTTACAGGCAGAGCGTCCCACTCTCCTCTGGGATAGGCAGCTGGCTCCAGCATAGGGAAGGCTTTCCCACCCTCCGGATCAAACCCCCTTACTGTGGAACTCAGGTCAAATGATCCACTTACCATAAAGGACCAGGGTGGCGAACACCATGAAGCACAGCATGTTGCCAGCAGAGTAGACCACTGTCCCTTGCCTTGAGCCAACCTCTTTATACACCTCTTATCAGCAGCTTTGCTGACCTTCTTCCTGCCAGCTGGCAGGGCTGTGGGTGGAAGGCAGGGAAAAGCACAGGTGACATGGAAGTACAAATGAAAAGATTTCTTTTCAAGTAAACTAATTAATCTGTTCTTCAAAGACAGAATAAAGTTGGAGCTCAATTAATCATCTGCTTTTAGTTGAAAAACATCCAACAAAATTTCAAAAATAAAATGGAGAACCAGGGATGGCTTTCCCCTGGGGTGCACCCCTCATCATCCTACCTTGTCATCCGTCACTGCTCCCACAGTCCTCCGAAGCACCACAAATGCAAAGACCTGCCTGGTGCACCAGTTGATGAAGGCAAGGAGGGGGGAGTGGTCAGTAAGAGGAAGGAGGAGTTAGTCATGGTGGTGCACACCTGTAATCTCAGCTACTTGGGAGCTGAGGCAGTGAAGCAAGAACAGAGATCAGGCAGTTAGTGTAAATAGATGATCAGGTCAGGAAGATAGAAGCTGTATGGGGTCTGGAAGATGGAGGCTGATTCAAAGGAAATGGAATGTTAATATCTTCAGGACACATTCCCTTCACTCATGGCCAAGTCACTTGCCACTGGAGTACTGAAATGCTAATACCTTCAGAGTCCTCTCCCCTGCTGCAACCTGTTGTCAAGGTGATCTCCTTCCAGGGAATTGTTCCTCCCAACAAGGGGCTGTTAATGAATGCCTCCTGGGCTGCTCCCTTCCTTCCTGGACCACTGGGCATTTTCATTCCCACTCTTGGCCCACCTTTTGATCATGAGTCACTTTGGTCATGGGTCATGGAAGCAGGATGGGGAGTGTGTGAGAACAAAGAAATTCTAAAATATATAAAAGGGGCAGGACACCCCCACTTCTTCAGATACCAGCTATGGACCCCTTCTTTCTCCTGGGAGAAGTCTGTTTCCATCCTTTAAATAAAACTTGCTTTCTATGCTTTCTTCAGTGTTTCTCGGGTGTTCAGTCTTCACATCTGGGGAAACGGAACTTGGCTGTGATTGATTCTCATCACCAGCCGGATCTCATTTGGAGGTCCCACTGAGGTATGCTCCTTCACATGCACCCCATATCTTTTCTTTCTTTCTGGAGTACTCTCCTTCCCTCACAGATCAGATTCTAGTTATTCGGACTCTAGGGTTTTGAGAAAGGGACGTGGAATTGTTCTTAGGGAAGTGCCTGGGTTCCCTTTGTTCACAGCATTTACAGGCTAGTCGAGATTCTCCCCATTGTTGTTCCGATGTGCTTTGCTGCCTTCTCTGACTACAAAAATGGAGATTTATACCCACAGCCTTCTAACGATTCTTTTGATCCACAGTGAGCATAAACTCTTTATCCCAGCCTTACCCCCTAGTGTTCTGCTGCTGCCAAATGTGATCTCAATACCAACCGTTTATGGAATAGAGAATCATGGCCATTGGAGGGAAATATAAATTTTAATACCATTCTACAGCTCAGCTTGTTCTGTAAAAAGGAAGGAGATAGTCTGAGGTTCCGACCTTGTTTAAGATACCCGAATTTTGCCAAAAATGTAAATTAGACTCAGCGATGATCCCCATTCTAAGTGAGACCAAATTTCCCTTCCCAAAAGTTTATTAACCAATGGGAGGCTCAACACAGACAGATCAAGGTTCATTTCAAAAACATGCTGTATGTTCTCCCAGGGAATTACAAGTCATACTGTAAGCACACATAACCGAGGCAGAAGAAGACCTCAACGTATTTAGCAATGCCGTTTATTAAGCACTGGAGGGGCTCATTTTGAGGTAGAAAATGGCTGCTGGTTACAGAAAGAGTCTGTGTTTTATAGTTTACAATGAGGGTGGCTTAATCACTGGAGACTGAAGCAGAACCTGTTGGTTTAGGCAGTCGAAAAAAGGTTGTGAAAAGTCTGAAACTGTTTGTTACTGGGAAAGGATGAAAGCTCAGAGCCCAGTGCTCATTGGTTATCTTCTTCCTCCAGGATCCATTGTACCCAGAGCTTCATTATTTGCTTTTCTCCTTCCAGGAATCATCAGCAATGAGAATAGTGAAAGTCCAGGGTCCAGGGCCCAGCGCTCAGTACCTCCTCCCTTCATGTCCCATTGTCACTGGAAAGGGATGAATGTTTGCCTTTTTCTTCTCTCCTTCATCCAGGGCCACACTGTCCTCCTTTCTTCCTGGGCTGTCTTGGGGAATGTTACTTTCGTATCCTTCACATTCAGTAAAGGTGGATAGTCCCGAGGCTTGCATCTTTTTCATGGCCACCCATGAAAAAGCACAGGGTTCATGACCAAACTGGTAAGGCAGCAGTTAAATCCAGAGGTCACACATGGAAGGATGGGTAAAGAGGCTCCAGGAATACAGGCTCTGATATCACAAAGACATCCTCTAGCCAAAGAGACAGTTGCTCAGCCAAAGAGACTGTTGCTCAGTGTAGGCACTTATGGGATCTGTTCTCTTTCCCTGCGTTTTTTGTTTTCATGTGTTCAGAGGGAAGTCTCATCCTCAAAAGTAATGGGAGAGGAAGTCTCATGATTTTCTGCTTTCAAACTTGGCTTGATTACCAACTGAGGAAATAAAAATAGTTTAAAAAATGCCCTCAAAACAATAGTTTCCTTTACTTAGTTTATGCCAGATCTATCTCACCAAGTTTTGCATTAAAATGTAAATTGTGGAGTCCTGGGAAGCTTGCAAATTTCCACAGGAGTCTGGTTTAGGATGGAGAGAAAAAAATGTGGCTTTTAAATCCTAGCAGCTTGAGAGACATAAATGGCTGGCTGCAGCACAGGGAGGAAAAATAAAATAAATGGTCAAGTCTTCTTTACCTTTAGAATCTTTACCCAAGGATTTTAGGGCTCTCTCTCTTTCTTTCATCTGAACTCACTTTAATCTGAACCAGAAGTAAACTCTGATCTGATAAAAATGTTCTGCATGCTTCTTTACTAGAGTAATTAACCAACACGTCATTTTCCCCCCCTAGAACTCTTGTTTTTTTAAAATTCTATATATTTTTGAGCTCATGGTTTTATGGTGAATTCACATTTTGATTCTGCATGCCTAAATTAATATGTTTTCCTGGTCAGTCTTATTTTACCTAATTATAGAGGTTTTTACACTGTTTTGTTCAGAGGCCAAATATTTCAAGGATTAGCTCTCAATCTAATAGAGGCTTTAGTAAACATCCGTAGCATTGCAGTGGAGCTCTACCCACAATGGTCTTTGTTTCTTGTTCATTTTGTGTAAGTGTGCACATCTGTGTGTTGTAATGTCTACATGTGCCTGTGTCCATATATCATGTACATGGTATCAAAATTGGCATATAGATAAATGGGTGCTCATAAATTAAAATTTTAAAAGTAAAATGAATCCAAATACCTCTAGTTCACGTGATTTTAAAAGTTTTTCTAGGTGGACAGAAAATGAATAGAATGTTAATTTCTACAAAATGTCTAGAATGTAATGTCCATTGTTTCTAGGATTTTTCTTCAACAAGGAAGAGATGGCTAATACTGTTCATTACACTTGTCTGATATCTTGGCTTTTACACTTAGAAATAAATAAATTAGGAGATAGGGATGTGGCTCAGTGGTAAAGTACTTGCCTAGCATGTGCTCAATCCCCAGCACTGCCAAAAAAAAAAAAGAAAAGAAAAAGAAAGAAAGAAGTAAATTAGATTTAATATCAATAACTAATTCACAATGGAGGCAGGGGAGAAAAGTGGTATTTTGGACTAAACAGAGGATAGTGAAGGGAGGGAAGGGGGCATGGGGGTGGGAATAATATTAGAATGAATTGGACTTTATTACCCTATGTGCATATATGATTACACGACCTATGTAACTCTACATTGTGTACAACCAGACAAATGAGAATTTATACTCCATTTACATATAATGTGTCAAAATGCATTCTACTGTCATGTATAACTAATTAGAACCAGAAAATAAATAAATTAATTAATTAAAAATATTTAACACAATGGGATTAATCTTCATAAATGTGTTTGTTAAGGAGACACCTGGTTAACTTAAAAAGTCACAGTGCTAACTGATAAATATAAAATGAAAACACTTGATATCTTAAATTCCATAAGGTAATTTATTTAAATATTATGTGGGTTTTCATAAAATGGGTAAAGGAAAAATGTTTAAGATTGTCTCATTTTTACCCCATATACATATTGACATAAGAGTTCATAATCTGCTTGAATCAAATGTATGAAATATGATATGTCAAGAGCTTTGTAATGTTTTGAACAACTAATAATAAAAAAAAAGAATAAAAAAAAGATTGTCTTATGTCTAGGCCTTCACTAAAGCAAGGTTACTAAGAGTTAAAGTTCTAACAGGTGTAATTCTATATGCTAAGGGTCCAAAAAGTTTCAACTGTGTTACCATTAAAGCACTGTAAATAGTATAAAGTATTTCATCTTATTAAAGTAATTTGTCTAAATTCAGAAATTTCATAAGTGTTGTTTCAGAGTATGAATTAAGAGAAAGGATCAACAGCTAGGAAAGAAACATCAGAAAGTTCTAGGTATGGAAATATATTTTAATATAGAAAGTAGATGAAAAAAGAAATGTTTCTGGATAAGAAAGTCTTTTATGTGGTAAAATAAAATGCCTAAGCAAAGTTGCAAAGGGTTCATGAAGGGTAAATTTTAAAAAGTTAGTTTGTGTATAACTAAGTTGGTTATAAGAATATAAGTAGTATAAAGAGTTAAAGCTATTCAAGTTTCCCCCCTAAGGTCAAATGTTAATGTACTGATATAAACCAAAGTTTAATCCTCTATAGGTTGAAATAACAAAGATTTCTTATCTCTCAAGATAATCTGTTATGTTTTATTCTTTAGAGAAACTAGTTTTAAAGGAATTAGGGTTTGTACAACTCTGGTTAAACAGCAACTGTTATTTTAGAGTATTACACTATATTACAACATCAAGATTTTTCTTTAAAAGCTAAACTTGGTTAATATAAAAACGTTAGTGTAATTGTGGTGCTATTACTAGATTCTTTGTATACTAAATGTATTCATATCTTTCAGATACACGAGTCTTTAAAGTATGAGGTT